TTTCAGTACATAAAAATTTTCACATACTGCAATCGCCACTTTCATATATCTTTACCAGTGGCTCGATACAGCCTGAATTATGTATATGTTGACATTTGTACAGTAACCTTGAAATTCCACTCTTAATAGTCACTCAATTCCTCCGTGATTTTGCACGAATGCTTTAAGTTCATGCCAATCACTCGTGTACATTTTTAACGTTGAAATGCTTACACAAGTTTCCCAACCTCAGTGAACCAAATTCACTTAGGCTTTTTTGAGCAGCTAGTATGCTGTCATACTGTTTTGGTTCTGTTTGTCAATAAGGCTGAGTTTTTTAGATGACAGCTTGAGATCTTGTGTCTACTTTAACTCAGAGTAATCTAGATGCAGTTAGTGTGAATCATAAGGTATTCCGCTATGCAATAAATCGCCATAGTCAACACCACAGTGTACTACCCCTGTGGTTTGCTTCTGACTGCCTGATGTGCTGTGAACGACCTGTGAATCTGGGTGGATTCGGGGTTTTTTTTAGTTACCTGCTGGTTAGTGGATGTGATGTTTGAAGTGGAGCTGATTTGCAAGCAATCCTTGTATCCACTTTTTTGCATGGACATGAATTGTCTTCGATAAAGTAATCCACCATCATGCGAAGTAACTATGTCAGTGGATGCGTATGCAGGGGCATTGTACCCCCTTGAGCACCTATGTAGTTTCTGACGTTGATGTTTGGGCTTTCACTGGTACTCCCTGAGAACTTGTTGACATTCATTGTGGGGTATGGTTGTAGGAAGACTGGATTGCAGGAAACATGTTACATCATTTTGCAAACTCTTGACAAGTACTTCATGGCTTTCATCAAAATGATCTGATTGGATATCTGCATTTGTAGTCGGTAGCAGGAGGATTACTATTGCTTTCATCCATCGACTTAAAATGTTTCATATTTTCTGGCTTTTGAACTCATTTTTAGCTTCACCATGTCCATCACTGAAGTATATTGAAAAGACCCTTTCAAAATCTGAGGACTTATGGATGTAGATTCTGTCTGGATGTCGTCCAGCATTTACTTGAATTTCTTAATAATCCTCAGTGTTGGTGCTTCCCTCCTTTCTTCATAGCGTTGTAAAAAAGCTTGAAATTCTTCATTAAGAAGAGCTGTCATATTTTTACTCGTCGCCACTTTTATATATGTATGTATACGTAGACGTTTGTACAAGGACCTTAATAGTCACTCAGTTCCTCCGTAATGGAAGAGTTGGTAATAAAAAGTATACGTCTAACTCCAACGTTCTGATATTTTATGATTCTATGTATTTGGCTCCATTTCTACATATGTTTATCCTTTGTCTCACCTTAGATTGCCTATGTTTTCACTTCTGTTTTGTTTTATACTCAACTTTCTCTTTGGTTTCTCAGTGTTATTTTATTGTCCAAAGTTCTTCATCTTCTTAGCTGGTGAGCCATTATTATTATTAGTAGTAGTATTTATGACCTATCTTTTAATGGTATACAGTTGTACTCAGTATCTTCTAGTCGATTATGATGTTTCATTTTAAATTTTAACTGAAATATGACCTTATCCGTTAAGAGGAATGAAATGCACTTTGTCAATTTGGTGCCGTAGGTCAAGTTAATTCTTAGTTACTTTAGTTGTGTTGTATCCTCTCAGATGAATGGTTTGATCATAAAGCTTTCACTGCTTTTCTAAGCAAAGTCATCAATACTATCAGAATTTCTTCATGAATGACTGAGTAGACTGACCTAATGAAGTTGCATTTATGATCAGTAGTTTTCTTTGGTTGTTACGCTATTGGTTCCTTAGATCCTGAAAGTGCCACCTAACTGCCTTTCTGCCTGGCTTAGCTTGCCCACTTGCTTGTTAAGGCCATCCTCTGTGATAACCACTACTAAGCATTTAGCTTTCAGTAGAAGGCTAGACAATTTTCGGTTGAACTCATCTTTCATGTCATCAACACTGCAGTCAGTATTTCCGTATGCAGCGGTTACAAATACACAATAGTGAGTTTCACTATTCTTTGTATTTCTCACTTCATTGTTCAGTAAGACACCACACAGGCTACTTTCAACTGAGATCCAGTCGAGGAGTGCACTTTCTGTCTAAGGACTTTATGCTATATCTACAACTGTCACAACTAGTTATTTAGTCTCGAAGAGATCAAGATACTATTCTGTGAATTCAAATCGTTAATGAGGGCTATAGAGCTGAAAGAAATTAAAAATGGTGTAGGAATATTGACCGAGAGAAGTGAAGAAAGATTGAAAGGTCAAAATGTGGAAGGTTGATGGTGATCTGAGGTAACTTGATTGCTGATAGAGTTGTGAGGATGATTAGTAATTCCTGGCTGCCCACACGATTCCGCAAAGTACCTGAAAGAGAAAAAAGACTAGTTTCACATGACCATAGATCTCAAAGGAAATCTGTTTAAGACAAGTTACACACAGACCTTTAGGAAGTTTGAGGTGTGAGTTTGCTTGTTTTGAATCCGGTTATACGTGCATATACCGCCGGTACCGGAAGATCGTGAGGTAAAGAGAGTGTTATTTTTGGGCCGACATTTTCTTTCCGCCTCTTACCATAGAGAAGGCAGCGTCAGCTTGGTACTGCTGTCACATCCCGTCCACTCAGCAGGACACTTTTGGACCCGCATCGTAGTATATTAATTTGCACTATGACGGTGACTGCTCTTTGTCCAACAGACTTTCCTGGCAAGGTAGGGCATCAAGGAATAAGTTTTTCATTTAGCGTAGCTCATTGGGTCATTGTGATATACAAGTCTGACTGCCACGTCAAGCTGGTAGCGATCGATCTTTATTCTTATCATTCATTTCTAAACGACTGAATTTCGTCTACATAGTCGTCCTAAAATATCTTGATATATGTGCATAGTATCCTTGAACGATCACATATGTCCTATGGTTGCTCAATACTATTGTTGATCATATGCTCCAAGTATGTAATATATACTTCGCCTTTTTCGAAACATGTGATGCATCTTATGCAAATGGTCTAGTAATCATTTCATGCAGGAAAAGAGTCAAATTAAATGAATAATCTGAAAGTCTTAAGAAAAGCTGACAGTTGTCTTTACATTCGATGTCATTTCTCTTATTGAACCAAACTGTTAGCTCATGCATGTTAAAGCTACGATCGTCAGATTGTTAACATTCGTATAATTTCATCCATCCATCCAGATCAACGTAGGACTGGGCATTACTGCTTAACAGTCCGAGTTGCCACACCTCATATCAGTACATCATGTAGAAAGGTAGTGAGGTGAAAGATGAAGATAAGAAAATTCAGTCAAAAGAAATATAAAGTACTAAAAGAGAGAAAGGAAGAATGTGAAAATGATGAAATTCGGTATAGCGTTAAGATGAGGATAATGTGTGTATGCATCTGCGCCACTGATGTTGGTTCTGAGCCATATCGTTTAGAGTCTCCAACCACTAAATTCTTTTGTCCCGCGGACCCCAACCGGCCAGTCTGTATCGCCTCACATTGCTCAAACCAACAGTCAGAAACTTCATACATTGGTGCCATGTTTTAGTCTGGCCGCTTGGGCCTTTTTCCAGCCTGGACCTTCTTCGGCCAACATTGTGTGACGAGGCAGACAGCGACTAGACACACGTAACACGTGTCACAGCCAACTATCTCAGTCGATGAAGCTTCACAACTATGTCAACTAACCTACCTTTTATCCCTAAAACAATCGCAATCACGGTGGTGCCACAGGTGGCGTAATTTGGAAAAAGCCAGCTGAGTCTTGTATTCGTGCAGAAATTTCATCGGCCTCTGACCAACGCACCAGGGCTGGTCCTGCTTCCGAGTTAAGTGAAGTGGTCCACACACTCAACCACTACACTCTCTACTGTTAGCCGTTGCACCGTTGAAGATCATTTCTGGAGCAAGAATTTGCATTTGGGTGGTGAGAAATGCATCCCAAACACTCAAATTGCCACTCAAGGTGTCCAGAAGACTCTGCATCTTGTCATAGTCTTCACCTAACATGACTATGTCATTTGCGTATTCTAGGTCTAACGAAGATTCTCCCTCGATTTAGTCAACCTCTTTGTAGTCAAGTGACGAAAGGGAGACCTCCACGAGAATATCTGTGATAAAACTGAATAAGAATGGAGAGAGTGCGCACCCTTGACAAAGACCACTCGACGAGCACATCTCCCTGGACATCTCACCATAGGGTATAACACGCCCACAAATTGGTAAACGTTGATCGAATTCTGTTCATCGAGTAGTGTAACTCTCTTAAGTTGCATAAATAAATATTCTCGTCTAGTAATATTTGATAGAAAGGAGAACGCAAAGATAGCCTCGGATTTATATTCAGTGTATACGGTTTTTTCTAACTGAATGTGTTGTGACGTAATCACTGGCATCCATATATTGTCCTCATTTTAATCGTCATACTGAATTCAGTATTTTCACATCCCTCATTCCTCTCTTGCCATGCTATGGGAAGTTGGATTAGGTTAGAAGAGGGTTCAGGGTGTTCAGACCAAGATGTGGCACCAGTTCATGAAGTTGCTGACTGTTGGACCGAGACGTGTATGGAGTTTTACCTGGCTAGGGTCCCTGAGACCATAGGAATCAAAGGTTGAGGAGGACTCCCGGTGGAATGGATGAAAACCAGTCACAATAGTGCAGATGTATTCACTTCCTGACATCTTCTAAAGATTGAATACTTACACTGAGCATCATCTTCAGATTATTTACTCTCTCACACTACTTTTTCCCCTTTGATATCAGTTTCTTCTATCCACTTTTTCTCTGTTTACTACTGTAAAGTGTGGCAAGTTGAACGGATATGCTTGTGTACGAGGTTCTTTGATTTTGTCTCTCTGTCTGAGTTTTATCTTTCTAATTAAATCCCTTTCACATTTTACATTGCAAGTTGCGTTGTTATTGTTTTGCCTCTATTCGACATCTTTTTTTAAGGCTTAAAAAGTGTATATCTTATATTTTTTTTTTCTTATTTAAGGGTTATCGTGAACAGAATTCAATCAATCATATCATGAGTTTTTTAATTGAACAATCCGGTCAATTGTTTCGTATGATTGCGCCAAGTTGTGAAAATGTAAAAACTTTAGGAAATTCATCAGACAGTTGTTCACAGATTCCACGTATCCCACATAGTGCTGCTAATTCTCTTGTTGCTGATGTACCTGATGACAAGAAGTACAAAGAAAAATTTGGGTAAGCAGATTTTTACCCTATACACCTTTTGTTATTAGTACATCTGATGATAAAGTTTTGTAGTTGGTAGATTGTGTTTATCGTAAGCAATGAACCACCAAAAATGCTCTGTATGTGTGTTTCATTCTTTTTCGAGATTGTGACTTGGAGAATTGCGTACTCCAGTTTTAAAGCAACTGATCCTGAGTTCAAACTGTCCTCCGTTATTATTTTGACCTAGACAACTAAGTAAAGTCATATGTGCTCACAAATTAAGTTGGACTCACAGTGACATACGCTGAGATGGATCGACATTACTTCTAGTTCTTATGTTGGATTAAAACCAATCTGACCCTTATCAACAGTCAGTTATTCACTTCATTGATTATTCACCACTGAGCTATTCTGGCCGCGATTGACTTTCTGCAGGAGTGGGGAGCAACCAATTTCATGCTATCTAGTCCTGAGAGCCGACCGAATTTCGTCGCTCGTTTTCCAGTATAGCCGTCAGGCTAGGAGGCTCACCATTGTGGTGCACGTTAATGGATGTTAGTTGGTTAGAAGCCATCGGCAGAAAGCTCTAGACTTAGGTTTCATCGCTGAATACAACGCTGGGTGAATCTGGTTTGAATCTCAGAGAGGGGTCATCAGTTCTCCCGAAGTTACAGATACGCTTTGCTGACGAGTGCCAAAAAGCACGAAACTAGGGTCAGGCAGGTCTTCTTGCCGATAACTTCCAACCAACTAAAAATCATTCACTTCAGAAATTGAATGCTTATTGTTTTAGTATACATTCGTCTGTTGTTGAGGTAACCAGTTTTAATTTTCATCAGGTAACTTTATAGTATATTGTAGAATTTTTGGTATATCAACAGTGTAAATTATAAATAATCTGTAAAAGGCAGAAATAATTGAGTATTGGTAGTCGCTGGTTCGAGTCCAGCCACAGTCCAAATTTTCACTTCACCTTCAATCATCACCCAGTATAAATACTAGTCTGCCAAACCACGACTATCTCGGATAGTCAAATGATAATGAATATTGGAAAACCATAATTATCCCTGCGTATATTGTTTTTCACTAGGACTGCGAAATTTTATCTTAGTAAGCCTGTATATGCTGTCATATGTAAACAAGATGTATACCTTTTGTGTATGCATACATATGTGTTCACTCACCAATCATCAGTAATTGCTCAAACAGGAGCAAGCAGACTGAAATGTATACGCTGGAAGACGAATGCCTAAACCGCTGATTCACAAATAAATTGCGTCATTGTGTTGTAGTCTATTTGACGGCTAGCAGTGGAATCCAGCTCGATGTGCGTTTCGTCCTATTTGAAACTTGTCAGCTGGATGTACATGCACCCCAGTGAGTAATGTTCCCACTGGGGCTCGAACCTAGTATCCATCACCCCACTTAGGCATTGGGATAAGAGAACTACCACTTGTACAACGGGTGTCAGTTGTGGTTTATTCCGTCACTGTGTGTTGAAACAAGCAGAACATAATAATTAGGTGTAATGCTTGGTTATTTCTGTCTGTTCCCACCATTTTATGAATGATCTTATCTATAGGAATTCTGTTGATATAGGTCATACTTCCAAGTTTGATCTCTACAAGAACCACTTCTAGTTATTACTACAGACTTCTCTTGACATGTTGTTTTGATAACACTACTTTCAACATTGATAATAATGCCGGATAGTGGCTAGCAATGGAATCAAGGATGCACATGGCCTAGTGAATGATACTTTGGCATCCGAAGTGATTGCCCCTGGGTTCGAATCCTGGTGGGGACAGCATCACTCGCTGGGAGGTAGGTACATCCAGCTGATGAGTTCCAAACAAGACGGAAAGCTCTTCCTGGATTCCACTGCTAGCTACTATCCATCGTAAGTTATGAAACTTGAAAATACCGACAATATATGTCGAGACCCGATCGATAGATGTTACCTTAACGTGATGGTCGGGCTTGTATATCACGATGACCCAACGAACTATGCTGGTAGAAACCTTGTTCTCTCGAGGTCTTAACACTCCAAAAAGGTCTGTTGGATAGATGTTAGACGTAAAGCAGTTACCCCTAGCGTGTTCTTAAACAATGAGATGACGCATTATGATGGCCTAGATCAGTCATCAGTGGTGTGTGGTAATCCAGAACCACATGACGTATTTCTAACTACATCTCCCATACTATCGGCCACTTGTCGTGGTATCAAAAAGGCCGTTCATGACAGATATCAAGAAGATGTCCCATGGTTCCTGCGGTCACGCAAATCTTTTTCTCTTTCAGGTACCTTAAGAAGAAATAGGCTTCCGCGGCGTGGGTAGCCGGGAAGTGTCAGCCGTTTGCACACTTCCAGTAGTACACAAGGCCCAATCAAATATAACCTTTCCCCTTTAACTCTGTCTCCTCCATTGTCTTCACCTCTTGATACTAATATCAAACCTCTTACTCCTTACCCAACCTCTCATTTTGCGAGCATTGCAAACGATCACAGATATCGAAACTTCATTCCTAGTCTCCTAAGACCCCACTCGCTATCGAGTTCATGTAGGATTTTTCAGCATCCGAACTCCATACCTAGTCAGACAGCAAGCATCACTCGCCACAACCCTGGAATCTCTGACCATTGGTGCATGTTGTATCTCTGACACACGTATATATGACCTGAGTGTGGTTATTAAGTTGAACTCATTTGGACATAGAAGTGAATCTTCAAAATTCACTTTAAGAGTATTCGGAGACACAGCCAGCTCTCGCGGACTCACTGGTGTGGACATAGCATTCAGTCGTACGGCAGAAAGGGCACTCCTCAACTGGATACCAGTCAACAGTTGTTTATGTGTTGTTCGACTGAATGGGCCTGTAAGAACTAGGAAGGATCGTGAGACTATGCGATACTCATTCGTAATCTCCGCCTACGCACCCATCAACTGTAGTTTGGATGATGCAAAGGATGAATTCTATAGGAAATTGTCAATTTCACTACAGAAAGCAAAACCTTCAGATCTAGTCATAACAGCAGGCGAATTTAACTCTCAAGTAGCGAAACTGAGTTGAGCCAATCGGAGAGGCATCCGGAAGGTATTTACGGAATCCTATGCCAAAGAACCAACAACGGTGATCGTCTGTTGCAGTTTTGTTCCGACAGCCACTTGTTTCTCGTCAGCACCAACTCTAGGCATACAGAGAGACACTGCCTCACATGGTGTCCACTGACTTCGAACTAACGATGGGCACAGATGGATCATATTGCTATAAGCCGTCAGTGGAGAGGATCAGTGGATGATTGTCACACTTTCTGGAGTGCCAGTTTAGCCTCTGATGACACGTTACTATGGTCTGGTGTATGTCTGCGCCTTACTGGCCGCAGGAAACAGGAACTAGTGATGTCTATCTGTGTTTGATCAGAAAATGACGACGCCAAGCTAAGGATTTATCTGAACGCGGTAGCAATGCTCATCCTGAGGAAACCTTACTTGATATTAAGTTTATTGTAGAAACAGCGGGAAAGGTTAGCAGAGGTCACTCGATTTCCGCAACGTCATCCCAACTGATTGATGTTAGAAAACTGATTCCAGCTGTCTCTGACCACGATGAAGAGCGGAAACAATTCAAGTGTCAACTATCTAAGAGTCTTCGCGTTGACCGCGAGCACTGGTAGGTGACGAAAGCTAGAGATGGAGAAGACATCAGCGGTGGGTGACAATTGGTAACTATTTACGGTTATTAAGAATAGTGGCAAGAAGACGATGGTTAGTGAAACCACTACCGAAAAAGATGGAACGCTGATGACGTTCCAGGAAAGGCGGGTAGAACCGTATACAGAACACTTTAAAATGCGGTTCAACTGACTCAGCAACCCTTCAGTTGCCCGACATCCAGCCTGAACCTGAATGAGACGTGGATGTTCGGTCCTCAAACTCTCTTTAATATTAAGAAATTTGTGTTGAGGCTGAAACGATGGAAAGCAGTTGACAGTTTGCTATCTGAAATTTTCAAGAATGGAGGTAGGAAATTGCTGATTAGGGAGACGGAGGTACTAAATAGAGTATGGGAATCAGGGGTAGTGCCGTCAGACTGGTCTACTTCACTGATCATCCCAATCTATAGAAGGGGGAGAGATCTTTTAAGAACCATATGAGAATTAGTTTGACTAATATTGTATCCAAGACCCTAGAGTCCATAGTTTTGTGACACAATTGGAGCTGAAGAACAGCAAACCTAAGAAAACCAGTCAGGTTTCAGACCTGGTTGAGGTTGTGTCGATCAGATTTTCACCCTCTGATAAATGGATACTGGAATACAGGCATACCACTGACTGACATTTGCAATATTTGTTGACCTGAAGATGGTATTTGACTCTGTCAACTGTGAGGTGTTGTGGCAGTGTCTGTCTGTGAAGGACGTACTGAGCAAGTATATAACGCTAATCGAAGCTCTCTACTGGAATTCATGCAGCCATGTCAGGGCTAGTGGAGAGTTATCATGTGAATTGATGGCAACTAATGGTGTCTGCCACTGATGCCCACTGTTATCGTTCCCACTTAACTTTACTATAGACCTACTAATGGAAGTAATCTTAGATAGGTCTGACGACAGAGATTGACCTACTCCCTGGATGTTATCTAGTTGACTTGGAAAATGCAGACGATATTGTCCTGTTGGGTGAAGATGTTGACAAAACTCAGGGTCTTCTAAACGCGTATGATTGGCATGCGCTTCGCACCTGTCCAACGTAAGATGTTGCCCCGGGACCAGTCTGCAACTACTTCCAGTTGAGGAATAGGGACTGAAGTGATGGAATGTATCAACCACTTCACTTACTTGGGGAGTTGCATCAGCCTGAACTAGCTGGTTGCTAACGAAATCTGAGCTCAGATAGAGAAGGCTTTTTTGGCATTTGCCAACTTGCATCGCCTCTGGTGTCAGCGAGATATCCATCTATCAATTAAAGGATAAGTATACTACGCTTCAGTCCCTTCTGTCCTGTTTGACGGCTGTAAGACATAGCCGTTGAAAGTAAACGGCATGAAGCGGTTGAAGGGTTTTGATCATAGATATCTTCGTAACATTGTTCGGATGTGGTGGAATCCACTTGTGAGCAATGTTGAGGTCAGGCGAAATGTACTAGGGAAGACAGACGAGTCTCTTAATGAGGTTATGGACATTCATCGACTGAGCTGGCTTGGACATGTGTTGCGCGTGCCAACTCACCACCTACCTTGACGTGCAATGCTAAGGGAAGTTGGATTAAATTTGAAGAGGGTTCAAGGTAGCCAGACTAATACCTAGCACCAGTCGATGAAGTCCCTAACTACTGATTTGAGCTGTATGGTGGAGATGTAGACTACCTGGCTTGGGGTCTCGGATGCCAAAAGAATCAGTCGTTGAGGACTGTTAATGACATGGCTGAAAATCGGCCACAATAGCCCAGATCTATCCACTCCTTTCCATTTTCTAAAACTTGAATATTCACACTAAACTTGATCTTCAGATTGTTTATTCTCTCATACAACTTTTTCTACTTTGATAACACTCCTTTTCTATCCACTTGTTCTTTGTGTACTTCCGTGGAGTGTGACAACCTGAGTTAGTGCTCTTGTGTGCGAGGTTCTACCTTCATTTTGTCAGTCGTATATATCGAAGCATCTACATAGGTGTACATATGCAATATTGACATCGACTCAGTCCAATCAACGGCAAAGATGCAAACGCTTATAACACCAAAACGATATTTTCACCATTTGAATTGATCTTTTTGAAGATTTCGAGTTAATGGTTAGAAACGAGCGTATGCAGTCAACACATAGCGTTGAGATGTAGTTCATATCCTAAACGGGGTCGAGTATGCCCTCAGTCTAATCACTTTTTCAGGCATACCTTTCATTTATCGGTTATTCAACTAACTATCTTCAACTGGTCATCCGGTGTTAATATGCGATTAATATATGTACACTATAGAGGCAGAATTAAGTCACCTCTTTTTTCCCTCCCCTCTCTGTCTCTGCAATACATTATCAGTAGTATAGTGTGTGTGTGTGTATGTGAGGAGTCATCGTTTCATCAGGGTTTGCAGTTTTTGTTGATTAACTGCATTTTTAGGTGTTATATGTGTACAAGAATGTATGAAATTGTTTGGCTGTTGCACTTGTTTTAACCGACTTTTGTGTACATGTCCCCTCTATTATTATTATTATTATTATTATTATTATTATTATTATTATTATTATTATCCTCTCCGAATATCATATACATTTGCGGCTGTCTGACTCATGAGAGATATCATTTATTGTCGGAAGAAAAAGATGTTTATTATTGATTGGTAACGCGCTTTTGTGTGTGTGTGTACATATGTATGCACACACATCTAAAGTTGCATGTCTGTGTCTATGGTTTCTAAGGTTGGTCGTTACTGTGTGCTTCTGTTTTATTTTGTTGGTAAAACTATCATCATCATCATCATCATCAACAACAACAACATTAATTAATGGTGTTGTTAATGGTTATTATTTGCTTCCCATTACTTTTACTAAAACGATAATGGAGCCTAGATTCATCTCATCTTCTTTACCCACTCTTCCTTCCGCCTTTTCTTATCGTATAAAACGACAAAATTTCGATTTGTGCGCACTCATTGTATCATAGTTATCGTGATATGATGATTAGTTGGTTGAAGAAAAACAGCATGTGATTTGTTCAGGTATTTCGGTTATATTGGTAAGATATATGACCGTAACACCTAACATCATTAAATCTGTAACTTGGTTGATGTTTGGTTTGTTTTAGACACTTTCTGACAGACAGACAAAATCAATGTAGAACCTCGCACAGAAGTGCATCGGTTCAACTTGCCTCATCTCACAGCAGCATAAAAATAACAGAGTGAATGGAAAATGACTGATGCCAAAGCAGAGAAAGGTGTATGGTAGGAGAGGGAATTTGAAAATGAAGGTTAACAGATCGATCTTCAGGCATTTCACCAAGAGTCTTTATCCACTGATTCCTATTGTCTCAGCGAGCTCAGTCAGTTAGTCTAGGCTTCCGTTCTCCGCTGAGATCAATATTCAAAGACTTCCAGGACTGGTGTCACGTCTTGATCGGGCCTCGTTGAATCCCTTCAAACCTAATCCAGCATCTCTTAAGATTGGACATCGAGTTAGACGGTGATGGCTTGATATGCACAACACCTGTTAGAGAATGGTTTATCATGACATAACCCATTAGGTTGTTATCGAATACTGACTTTACTGGCTAACATCTTCACATAGTCTAAGTAGTTTGTTCTGTATAGCTGATAATCCATAAGAAATGAAGTAATAACAGTAACACGAAAATGAATAATAACGACAATACAAGAAGAAAGGAGTTCAAAGCATCTATTGTGTTACCATATAAGAAAGGAACATCAACAAGGCTGGAATTAGGGTAGGAGTTAAACCTACAAACTCACTCGGACATAAGCTTTGTCGGCTTAAGAACCTATTAAATCCAATTCAGCAAAATAATCTAACCTATCATTGACTGTGAGGTCAAGTACATAGGTCAAACTAGCCGATCGGAGTCAGTTATATTATTAGAACCTGGGAGTTTATCCAAGTACCAAATGACAGACTCCAATAGGATCAATAATCAGGAAACAAACTCGGTTATTCCATTACATACATTAACAGGTAACCACACAGTACGGTGACATAGAACCACTATACTTAACTCAAATATAATTAGGTGGCGAAAGAGATTGGTTGCTGAATCTTTGTTCATGGGATCAACACCCAAAACATGTAATAGGAATGATGCAACACCTATGTATACCTGAAATGTACGGAAAACTTTGCTACCAATAAAAAAAAGAATATGAGGTGACAGGACAATAAAAATCAGATTTTGGAGGTGATGTGGTCACATTGATATGATTGTAGAGAATAATTTATGCCTGAAATGTCCTCAAGTAAATAGTACCTCGCTTAGTATGCTAGTTACTGGCCGGTCCTAAGCCCGGATAAAGAGGGAAGGTTGGGCATAGGTCTAGCAACCCTATCCAGGAAAACCAATCCAATCGCTAAAGAAACTTCAAAGCGCAAAGAAAATATAGAAAAAAAATAATAATAAACCTATTCCTCATTGGAATCAGAGAGGCAAAATGACGCCAGTTGATGAAAGCCTTCGGGAAGCCAGTTGGTCGATGTGTCTTCTCTCTCTCGATGAAAGCGAAAGTAAACAGGGGAATATGGAATGTCCGAACAATATTTGAAGCTGGCTGGCAAGGCTGTCCAGATTCCAAAAGAGATGAGAAGATATAGCATAGATATGCTAGGAATCTGCGGGAGCATATGGAATAGAAGTGGACTCTCCAAGCTGTCAACTGGAGAGGAGTCAATAATCTACTCCGATATTGTCACTCAGACAACAACGAGCACACTGCGTTTTCGAGTGGCTATCATGATGTCCCCAACAGAGCATCGAAGGCAGTGGGAACCAACCTCCTCAACGATCAGGATCACCATCATGACAGCAAGATTCAACTAAAAAGGAAGGAACGTCACAATCATACAATGTTACGCTATGCAGATGAAGAGAAGAAGGAGGGATTCTACAGACAACTGCAATCAGTGCTGGACAAGACCCCAGTTGGCGACATCAAATTCCAATGTGTAACATGAATGCCAAACCGGGAGCGGACAACACAGTGAGAGAACCAATCATGGGTTGAGAAGCACTCGGTGAAATAAACGAAAATAGTGAACTGTTTTTGCAGACTTTTGCGCATTTAATGACTTGGTGATTCGAGGCACTGTGTACAAACACAAGGATATTTACGAAGCGACATGGATTTCAACAGATGGCCACACTAAAAATCAGATCGACTTCATTTCAATGTGAAGAAAACAGAGACGCAGACACAAGATCAAGAAGAGGAGCAGATGTAGATGTCAAACTTCCAAAGAAGGGTGGACGACTTAAGTCTTTGTAAGAACTGGCGCAGAATCATCTTACACCCCTGTCTACACCAAGCAAAATCTTATGCCGCGTCATCCTGGACAGACTAGATTCAACTGCATTACGACCGGAACAGGCTGGCTGGCCGGCTAGGTGGCTTGAGGAAGAACAAATCATGTGAGGATCAAAATGCAACCCTACGCCGTGCATCATCATAGAACAGAGCATAGAATGCTAGTCAACTCTCTACCTCAACTTCTTCATCCACTTTGAAAAGGCCTTCGACAGCGTCGACTGAGAAGTAATTTGACAGGCAACTGGTTCAACACTACGGTTTCAGTGCCACAAACCTTTACCAACCTCATTCAACAGCAGCCATATGCTACATGATGCTACATGTCAAGTGATTCACAATGGAAAGCTCAGTGATGCCTTTGAAGTGAAGATAGGAGTAAGACAGAACAGGTTGCCACCTACTATCACCGATGATCTTCCTGGTCGTGGTCGACTGAACTGCATCATGCAACAAACTGTGAGCAGTGAGCTGTGAGAAGATGGGCATCCGTTGTTTGACCGATGAAAAGATGCTAGAAGGGGATTTGGATTTGATCACCGATGATGATTTATATCTAATGTCTTGTCTCACAAACTCGAAGATGTACAGGCGAAAACCAACAAGTTGGTAGAAGAGGTGGAGAAGGGAACACGGCACTTCCTTCAGGTGAATGTTGAGAAGACAGAGGTGATGAAGACACCCAACAATCAACAATAACAACAACAACAAGAACTAATCACCATCAATGGGAGATATCGGAATGAAGTTCTCTCTCCCACCTACCTAGGCAGGGCAGCTTCGTTTCAACTACCGGTGGTACAGGCACAGATGAGGATGTCAAAGGGAGAATCGGAAATTCAGCAGGACACGTCTTCATTAACCTGAAATCAGTGTAGAGATCTACTGCACTGCACTGCACTGCACTCAGCATAAACAACAAGATCTAGATTTTCAACACCAATGTCTGTCAAGTCAGTGCTTCTATGTGATGGTTCAGAAACTTGGCACGTTACGAAAAGCATTTCCAACAAACTACATACATTCATCAACAGCTGCCGCCTACGCTCTATCGATACTGAAGATTAGATGGCCAGAATAATAAGAATAAGTGACAAGGAGCTCTGGCTGACTGGCAACGAACTAACCAAGAATCTATCGCCCCACGAAAATGCAGAAGAAAGTGGAGATGGACTGGATTGGACATACAGTGAGAAGGCCGATTCGGGACATCACACGTCAGGTCATGCCTTCGTTTGAATGCAAAAGGGGAAACGACGAGTTGGACGTTTGAGGGTGATGTGAAGGAGATGTTGTGAGGAAGAAATGAAATCTTCTGGGCAGTCGT